TTTTTCTGCGAGGTTACTATTCACGTGAATAGTGAATTCCGTGAATAGTGAATTTCGTGAATAGTGAAATTTTGTCGGCGATACGAATTTGTCGACGGAGGTGTTCAAATACACGACGGTTCACAGAAATTGTCAAAAACGATTCAAAGAAGCCAGATTCGAGTGGGAGCGATGGCTGCAGACGAAGGGAAGGTGAAAATTAAAAAGTTCGATGGTGCGGACTTTGGCTTTTGGAAGATGCAGATCGAAGATTTTCTGTACAGAAAAATCTATATCAACCACTCTCAGGAAAGCAACCAGAGGGCATGAAGGATGAAGATTGGGCTCTTCTCGACAGACAAGCCCTCGGAGTTATCCGACTGACGTTATCCCGCAATGTTGCTTTCAACATAGCAAAGGAAAAGACCACGGCGGGTCTTATGGCGGCTCTCTCCAGTATGTATGAGAAGCCATCGGCCTCAAACAAAGTTCATTTGATGAGGCGATTATTCAATTTGCGGATGACGGAAGGGGCATCGGTGGCACAACACCTAAATGAACTCAACACAATCACAACCCAGTTGAGTTCAGTGGAAATTGAGTTCGATGATGAAGTTCGAGCTTTAATTCTCTTATCATCTCTACCAGACAGTTGGAATGCTACTGTTACAGCAGTCAGCAGCTCGTCAGGAAACAGCAAATTGAAATTCGACGATGTTCGGGATCTGGTATTGAGTGAAGAAATTCGACGGAGAGAATCGGGTGAAACATCAATCTCCTTAGCCTTGCACACGGAGTCTAGAGGAAGAACTTCAGAAAGATATTCAAATCGTGGCAGATCAAAATCCAGACGGGAAAAATCCAGAACGGGAAAGAAAGATTTTACCTGTTATAATTGTGGCAAGAAAGGTCACTTTAAAAGAGATTGTCGAGCACTGAAGAAAGATACCGGTGCACAGGAATCTGTAAACGTGACAGAGGAGACAGGTAATGCCATGATTCTAAGCGTCAACAGTCCGATTGAATCATGGATCTTGGATTCAGGGGCATCTTTCCACTCTACCCCATGCCAAGAAATCATGGAGAACTATGTTAGTGGTGATTTTGGGAAGGTTCATCTTGCTGATGATGAAACCTTGAAGATCGTCGGAAAAGGAGATATCCGACTAAAGCTGCCAAACCAGACCACCTGGAAGCTGACAGGAGTGAGACATATTCCTGACCTCAAAAGAAATCTGATTTCTGTTGGACAGCTTGATGGAAAAGGATATAGTACAACCTTTTCAGGCTGTGAATGGAAGACTACCAAAGGAGCACTCGTCATTGCTCGTGGTAAGAAGACTGGTACTCTCTATATAACCTCAAATTTAGAGAATATCATTGCAGTAGCAGATGCTGATGGAAAATCAAACCTATGGCACCAAAGGCTTGGCCATATGAGCGAGAAAGGGATGAAGACACTTTTGTCAAAATGGAAGCTGCCGGATCTAAAGAATGTAGATGTCAGACTATGCGAGGATTGTATCTTTGGCAAACAAAAGAAAGTCAATTTTGCAAAGATTGGCAAGACACCCAAGGCAGAAAGGTTAGAATTGATTCATACTGATGTATGGGGACCATCCCCAGTTCCATATCTTGCAGGCTCACTATATTATGTCACCTTCATCGATGATTCAACAAGGAAGGTGTGGGTTTATTTTCTGAAGAAGAAATCAGAGTCTTTGATACCTTCAGAAAATGGAAGGCCATGGTGGAAAATGAGGCTGGTTTGAAAGTCAAGCGGTTGAGGTCTGACAATGGAGGAGAGTACAGAGACAGTAGATTCAGAGATTTCTGCGCAAACAATGGGATCAAGATGGAGACAACAGTTCCCAAGACACCGTAACATAATGGTGTAGCAGTGCGCATGAACAGAACTCTGAATGAACGTGCCAGAAGTATGAGGATACATGCTGGCTTTCCCAAATTTCTATGGGCTGAAGCAATCAACACTGCAGCTTACTTGATCAACCGTGGGCCCTCAGTTCCTTTGGATGGCAGAATACCAGAGGAAGTTTGGAGCAAGAAAGAAATAAGCCTTTCACACTTAAGAGTGTTTGGTTGTATTTCTTATGTACACATAAACTCTGCTGAAAGAAGTACACTTGATGCCAAGTCCAACAAATGCGTCTTTGTTGGTTACGATGGTGATGAGTTCGGTTACCGATTTTGGGACTACGAAAATCGAAAGATCATCAGAAGCAGAGACATCATTTTCAATGAAAATGTGATGTACAAAGATAGGTCAACTGCAGAATCAAGTAATACCAAAGCTGAAACAAAGGAATTTGCTGAGTTCGAGGAGATTTCTGGAAATGATGTTCAGATCAGTCCTGAAGCAGTTCAAGAGGAAGAACTAGGCACACCAGAACTGAGACGCTCCTCCAGAATTCCTAAACCAACCCAACGGTATTCGCCTTCTTTGCACTACTTGTTGCTGACTGACAATGGTGAACCAGAGTGCTATGATGAAGCGATGCAGGTGGATGATTCAATCAAGTGGGAGTCTTCCATGAAAGATGAGATGGACTCGCTTATGTCAAATCAGACGTGGGAATTATCTGAATTACCACCAGGCAAGAGAGCGCTCCATAACAAGTGGATTTACAGGATCAAAGAAGAGCACGATGGGAGCAAACGCTACAAAGCAAGATTGGTAGTCAAAGGTTTTCAGCAAAAAGAAGGTATTGACTACAATGAAATTTTCTCTCCAGTCGTGAAACTGACTACAATCAGACTGGTGTTGAAAATTGTAGCTGTAGAAAATTTACATCTTGAGCAGTTAGATGTAAAGACAACTTTCCTTCATGGTGATTTGGAGGAAGAAATCTATATGAGGCAGCCAGAAGGTTTCATAGAGGCAGGCAAGAAAAACCTGGTATGCAGGTTGAAGAAGAGCTTGTATGGTTTAAAACAAGCTCCCAGACAGTGGTACAAGAAGTTCGATAGCTTCATGGGTAGCAGTGGTTTTACCAGATGCCAAGCAGATCATTGTTGCTACATCAAGAGGTTCGACAATAGCTTCATTATTTTATTGTTGTACGTTGATGACATGCTCGTTGCAGGTTCAGACATGCAAGAGATTATAAACTTGAAGCAAAAATTGTCGAAGCAGTTTTCTATGAAGGATCTGGGTGCTGCAAAACAGATTCTTGGGATGAGGATCAAGAGAGACACAAAGTCGGGGACTTTGATGTTATCACAGGCTGAGTACATTAACAAAGTACTCTCCAGGTTCAACATGCAAGATGCTAAACCAGTAAGTACACCTTTAGGTGTTCATTTCAGACTCTCCAAAGACCAATCACCAAAGACGGAGGAAGAACGTGCACACATGGTGAAGGTGTCGTATGCCTCAGCAATTGGAAGTCTGATGTATGCCATGGTTTGTACCAGACCAGATATTGCTCATGCAGTGGGAGTTGTTAGCAGGTACATGAATAATCCGGGCAAGGTACACTGGGAAGCAGTCAAATGGATCTTCAGATATCTGCGGGGTACCACAGACAAAGCACTTTGTTTCAAAGGTGGAGATACAATACTGACAGGCTATGTAGATGCTGACTTAGCCGGAAATGTTGACATCAGAAGGAGCACTACAGGGTATGTCTATACTCTAGGAGGAACTGCAGTGAGTTGGGTTTCTCAACTACAGAAGATAGTTGCTCTCTCCACAACTGAAGCAGAATATGTCGCTGTTACGGAAGCCATCAAGGAGATGGTGTGGCTCCAAAATTTCTTGGAAGAGTTAGGCAAGAAACAAGAAAACAATGTTTTGTACTGCGACTGTCAAAGTGCTATTCATCTAGCAAAGAATCCGTCTTTTCATTCCAGGACGAAGCACATACAATTGAGATATCATTTTATCCGGTCCCTTCTGGAAGATGGGATTTTGAAACTTGAAAAGATCAATGGAGCTCAAAATCCGGCAGATATGTTGACAAAGACGGTGACCACGGACAAACTGAAGTTGTGTTCAGCTTCAGTTGGCATGCTAGAATAACAAGACCAGAAATGCTGCTGCATCGATCGAGGTGTGAAGACAGATTAAAATCATTCTTCAAGTAGGAGATTGTTGAAAATTATAAAGGCACATGGGCTGCTAATTCATTAGCAGCCGACTGCCTTGAAAAAAAATGGGAAAGTGCATTTTTTAGTCCTTTGCACTTTAGGGTATTTATATAATTAGTCCCTAAGTTTCAACTATAAATACCCTAGCTCATTTAGCTTCAAAATCATCCCAAAAATCATTTCTTTCTCCCAATACTAGAGAGCTTTCTTGTGAGTAGTGAGTGTTTTGTAAACACCTGTAAAATTTCTCTCTTAGTAAAAGATTTGCAGCAGTCCGGAGACGTAAGCAAAATTGGCTGAACTCCGTTATCAATTTCGGGTATTATTTTTCCGCTTTTATTTCACATTCTCACTAATCTGGTTATAGGGAAATTACTTGTACTCGATTTATTTCCTAACAAAACTTTCACATCCAATGCAACATCATCTTTATCTTCATGTTAGTTAACTCATCAGAAGTTAAGTTTTCAATATTTTGTTGTTTTTCTTGTTCTCTCCTATGTACAAATAGTTCTAGTGCATCAAGTTCAGCTTCTATATTACCATATGATTTTTTTGGTTTAATATTTGAAGTGGAAGGAGTTGTCTCTTGCTTGTGATACTTAACAAATAGTTGAACATTACTTACTGAATTGGTTGTATATGTATCAATTATTTTACGAACAATAGAATTATCATTCAAATAGCTTATTGATGAATGTTGTGGAACCAAAGAGGTGTGAAACCTAAAGTATAGTGAAGATAGCGTTAAATTTAGATTAGCTTTGACATTGTTTGAAATTTTCTTCATCAATTTGAATAGTTGAATATTTTAGTCCAAAGATATAGTAAAAGATTTTCCTTTCACAATAAATTGTTGCTTAAAATGTTGCCACGATGAAGTGAAAAATGAGTAGTTTAACATGGGTGTAATTCATTACTATTTAGATCAAGCTGAGGCTCCTCCTCTTTGCTGTCTCTAAACCTTGATTCTCTGCCATGGCCACATTCAAAGTATTCTGCAAAAACATAATTCATATTTAGTCTCACACCCTCGAAAACGGGGTACTCCCATAACCAAAAAAAACTAATCATTAAAAACAACTCAACAAGACATAAAAAGCGCCCCAAATCTCAAATTTCCTTTTAATTTAAGTAGCGGAAATTCCGATGTTTAAAGGAAAATTAAGAAAATTACCTTCGGATCCAGAGCTAATGTCGTCTTCATCCTCAGTATCAGCGCTGTAATCGGAATCTCTGGGAGCGATGTTGAGCAATTTCCGCATGAAAACACGAGGCCAAAAGTGCTGTATGCAGAAGCAACCAAAACAGCAGATTTCAGCCCAACTTCACTGCAAGTCCTCTCTTAGATATCCCGTAATTGAAAAAATAAAAAGGCTCAGATAAAGAAATGAAAATACCTCGGGCTGGTGCTTTGAACTCTGCTTCATGGCTGTATATCCAAAAATAAGTAAAGAAATGGAGAAAAGGAAAGAAGAAGATGAAAGAAAAACAATAGAAGCCAAAAGCTTTTTAGAAAAAGAGAGGGAAAAGAATGGAAGCTGTAGGGAAAAGGTCAGCAGCTAACTACCTTTTGTGGGAAAAATAAAGGGCTGGGCGGCGTTGAAAACAAATAAGTACTCGATGATTGTTTCATAGATTTAAGGCTTCAAATAAGGGATTAAATTACATGGAAATGAATTTTAAATATTTAAAGATATTTTTATTTATAATAGATGCTTAATATTTTTAAAATATATTATATCATTAATAAAAAATTATAATATAACACGTGTTGTATTTATATATTTTTAAAAAATATAATTGTTTTTAATCTATTTTTCAAAATTAAAAACCTTTAAACCCTTTTTAAACATCCATTAATCTATCAATTATCATATTTTCATTGTTATTCTAAACTCTTGAATATCTAAAATTTAAATCTCTAATTTTATAAATTTAAAATGTCACATCAATGGTAGAGGGATTTCCCAGCAATCCAACCTGAGAGGATGGCTACATCCAAGGGAGGGATGGAAACAGCCGCCTGGAAGGGAGGAAATTAACGCCCCCTGATTAGTGTGAAAGGATTTTTTCAATTTGCAACGAGTGAGGAGAGGACAGTGAACGTAAGGGATTAAGATAAATATTTCAGGAAGAAAAAAAAACATAAATAAGTTATGCGATAGATAATATTTTTTTCAACACTTCTTATGGTGTGGATATTTAAAAGAGTAATATATATATATATAAGTTAGTACAAGAAAATATTTATTTAAAGATAACTCTTAATCATTTAATATTAAACGCTTACACTCTTGACATTTTTTATACTCGAACCTAAAAACTCAAAGAATAACAATAATTTTTTCTATATTTATTTTTTGTTTCTCAAATGTCGAATCATCACCAATATAATTACAGACCAATTCTTCATAATAATTCTTTGATTTTTTTCTGAACGTTAATGTTAAAATTGACAAAAATAAAATGTTGGTGGCATAAACGAGTATGATGGTATTTATAGTAGTTTACCCTAATTAATAAATGGAAATCTTTTGTTTCTGTCCTTCCGCAGGTTTACATTTATACATACAGTAGGTTGCAAACATTAAGGTAGCTCACTAATTTATGACATAATTTGTTGTCATAATTATAATAAAATTTAGATTATAATATTAATTTTTTAAATATATATAATATTTTTTAGTAAATAGGGATAAATGTATGGATAATATTTTTAAAAAAAGATGTAAATTATATTTTATAGTATATTGATATTTTTATAATAATATTAATTATTATGAATAATTACTATTCATAGATGTTTATTATGATTAGAATTCTTTGATGTACTTCAATAATAGTACTTGACATATTTTATAGTTAAAATTTTATTTGATAATATTTATTTGTATGTATATAAATATAAAATTTGGAGAAAGTATTGTACATTCTTTGCATTAAAAAATAATACAAATTTACCTCTTTATTCTCATCACTTTATTTATATTATTAATTTATTTTTTTTATTTCACAATAAAATTTTGGTTAAAATCAAGTTTCATCTCTCATCTGATTTGAGATGTCAGTATGATTGTGATGATAGTCGGGATAGAGTTAGAAATTTCAAATTATAGTATCATAATTTTTAATTACAATATCTAAATAAAATTAAATAAATTAATACATAACATTAATACTCGATAAATTAATGCAAAATTTAGCTAAACTAACGTAAGACTATTACAAAGCTATTAAAACAATAATTAAAAAAAGATATAAGTTCAACAATTCATCTTTTTCTTACAATTGTCTTTGAAGCTTTCTCATATTTTGAAATTATTGAACTATTTTTTTCCTGTTGATGCTAAAAAATATCTTTCTCAACATATATAACCAAAAGGAGGGGCAAATGCAGGCTTGGGTCTATGAACTTTTTAGAAATTCAAATACTGGCCTAAAGTTTCTAGAATCTTTTAATTTGGTCCCTTAAAATCCCAATAAATTAATAAAATTAAAAAAAAATGAGTGTGTGACATCACTACAAGAAATTTGTACTATTGTAACAAATCTAATTTTGTCAAAATTATTATTGTCACTATTAATAACTTTTTTGTGACAAAATAAATAATCATCACATTAAACTAAAAAAAGATATACAATTTTGACAAAACTAAAATCATCATAATAATTTATCACAATTAGTAAACATGTGTAATATATGGTGACAAAACAAACTTTGTTACCAATTTTTGTCACAAATATTTCCCTCCATATTTTGGCACCAAATTAAACTCTTATAGTGACAAGTTTTGTAACTAAAAAGTTTTAGTAAATATGACAGAAAAAATTGTCACAACAAATAATGAGATTTAAATATGTTGTGATAAATTTTATTTGTAATATATTTTAATTATATATACAAAATGTATAGCCACAAATGATTATTTCCAATTTTTGATGTAAAAACAAAATCATATAGTGACATATTTTGTTACTATATGCTATAATTATTGTTACTAAAAAAGGTTGTCACAAAAAATAATGAGATTCAAGTTTTTAGTGAAAATAATGTTTTTAGATATATTTTAATTATAGTGACAAATATATTGTCATAAACATTTCCTCCATATTAGTTTTATTATTATAAGATTTATAAAAAATATTAATTTCTTAATATAAAAATTATAAAAATAATATTTTTCATAGTAACTAATTGTAACAAATTTATTTATTCATAACAACATATTAAATTTAATCAAAATAAGAAATTATGTTAAATTTATTTAGTCACAATATTTTTTTTAAAAAATAACTAATTATGACAAATTTATATAGTCATAATAACAATTATTGGTAACTATTTGTAACAAATTTATTTAATCATAATAATATAGTAAATTTAGCCAAAAGAATAAATTATGTCAAGTTTATTTAGTCACAATATTTTATCAAAATAAATAATGATGAAAACATTGTTTAATCAAAATAACAATTAATAACAAATATTAATTTCTCAATATAAAAATTTATGAAAAATAATATTCTTTGTAACAAATTTATTTAGTCACAACAATATATTAAATTTAGTCAAAATAAAAATTATGTCAAATTTATTTCATCACAATATTTTCTCAAAATAAAAACTTTTGACAAATTTATTTAGACATAATAACAATTTATAACAAATAGTAATTTCTCAATATAAAAAATTAGGACAAATATATTCTTACATAATAATAGATTTTAACAAATATATTTAGTCACAATAACATATTAAAATTAGTCACAGTAAAAAATTATGTCAAAATTATTTAATCACAATATTTTCTCAAGATAAAAACTTTTGACAAATTTATTTAGTCATAATAAAAATTTATAACAAATGTTAATTTCTCAACATAAAAACTTATGAAAAATAATATTTTTTTCACAATAACGATTTGTTTCAAATTTATTTAGTCATAAAAATAATTATAAGAAATATTTAGTGACGAAATAAAAGTAGCGAGAACTTAAATTTTGTTGTAATATGTTTTTTGTCACGAAAACTTTTTTTGTTCAATGTTATAATTTAAGTTAATTGTGACAAAATTTACTGTTAGTGATAAAATAAATATTTTTTCAACAAATATTTTGTCTCTGTAAGTTTTATTTAGTGACGAAATAGAAACAGTGAGAAAATAATTTTTTTACAATATGTATTTTCATCACAAAAACCCTTTACATTTGATTGTAAAATATAAGTTAATTATGATAAAATACACTTCTCGTGACGAAATAGTTAATTGATAGTGATAAATGTTTTATCAGGATAAGTTAATTATAGTAACGAAATTTCATTGTTACAATAAATATTATAGAATGGTAACAAACACGATTTCGTCACAATATACTTTACATTACAATGTTGTTCTAACAAACATAGTAACAAATAAAATTGTTCAAAATAAATATATCTTGACAAATTTTGTTGAACAATAGAAATTATTCTTGTAGTGCATGTTGTATCGATACTGTAAGAACAATATCAGTATTGCTTACCCAAAAACCTTTTCTTATGTTCAAATTCTTATTTAATGTACTTTGAATTATTTTTGAAAACTTTAAATAAATTCAATCAAGTCCAAAAATTTTGCCCTTAAAATTGTTATATCAAAATAGGTTCAACAAAGAGCAAGAACTTCAATGGTAAAAAAATCAGAGGAATAAATTAAGGAACAAATTAGGTTTAACCAAGTCTATCATACTTTATGCATTCGAAAATTGATATCAATTGTTAGAGAAATATCATTTAAGTGAAAAAAACTTATGCATAAGCATTCAAATTAAGGTAAAAAATTCTTAAAAACATTTTAAAAAACACAACTTGGTGAAAAATCATTATGACGAACAAACACATTAAAACAATTAACAAAAAAATATTCATTATAACATATTTTCAACATACATGAGAAAATAAACAATATGTAAACATTTATGCTCAACATTCATGCATGCACAGAAACATAGAATATACAATCAAATTACAAAATCAAAAAGCTTTAAGGTTAGATATTACCCATCCTTTCTCCTTGTGTGACTAGAGAATTTGAAATTCTTTAACTTTATCACCATTGCTCCAACACACCTACAAGAGACATTCATTTTTATTTTGGTACCCAAATTTCTGTGGGTCCTAGAGGGTTAGTTCCAATGTCTTTAGTTCCCTTAGAAACTCATACTTGTCTAAATTTAAAATGTTTTCTTTTATTTATAGGACAAATATGTGGACTATGACCATGAATGACAATGTAATCATTTTTCATTTTTAAAATATATGATTTGTTTTGAGAGATGATTTATTTTTCTTTTGTTAAGCATTCAAGCTTAACTTTTAAATTGAAATTTTCTTTTTCTAAATATTCAATTTTGATATTTGAAAGCTCAAAATCATTTTTCAAAATTTCATTTTGTTTTTCAAAATCAAATTTTGCTTTCAAAACTAAATCATTTTCATTTTTAAATTAGAAATCAATTTCTTATATTTG